AGTAGCCCAACTTTTAGGTACATGTGCATCTACATGACATCTACATGACATACTTTTACAGTCAACTTCTCTACCCCGGTAGCAATGTCTTGCCACAGTTCAGCAAACATAAATAGAGTTTTTGGTAGATACTGGAGCAAAATTTTCTGTGTTAAATCAAGAACTAAATGTTACAGATAACGTATCTTTGAATGTTGTTGGGGCCACTGGTCAAATTAAGAATGTATCATTTATGAAACCTTTAAGTTTTAAATTAGGTAAGGTTTTAGGTATACAAAAGTTCCTTTATATGCCTCATGCACCTAAATCACTTTTGGGATGGGATTTACTAGAAAAATTGAATGCAGAGATTAAATTTAAAAATGGGGATATGCAAGTCAAAGAAAGGACTGAAAGGGTACAAGGTATCCAAAAGTAAACCCAGATTGTAAAGACGGAAGTCACCTATTTAGGATATGAAATCTCAGGAGGACAACATCAACTAGGATCAGAGAGGAAAGAAGCCATCTGTAAAATACCTTTGCCTCAGACTCTGAAGGATCTTTGCACATTTTTGGGAATGACTGGTTGGTGTAGGCTTTGGATCTACAAATATGGACTGATAGTCAAACCCCTATACCAGATTCTACAAGATGGGATTAAACAATTAGTGTGGACTGGGGAAGCTAGGCAAGCTTTCCATCAACTTAAGAAGGAACTGATGCAAGCACCTTCAATAGGTCTTCCAGATGTGACTAAACCTTTTTTGCTTTTTTCACACGAAAGGCAAGGGATTACATCGGGAGTTTTAGCTCACCAAGTTGGACCCTATCGACGAGCAGTGGCATACTTCTCTAAGCAATTAGATGAAGTAAGCAAAGGATGGCCAGGATGCTTGAGGGCAGTAGCAGCAGTTGGTTTTGAACATACAAGAAGCACGAAAGTTCACAATTGGAGAGAAAATGACTGTTCTCGTGTCACATGTGGTTTCAGCAGTGCTAGAACAGAAAGGGAGTCACTGGCTCTCGCCCTCCAGGTTTCTCAAATCCCAAGCCATCCTAGTAGAACAAGATGACGTGGAAATCATCACCACTAACATCATCAACCCAGCAACATTTTTATCAAGGGAACCACTGCATCATAGTTGCATTGAAACAATTGAAGCAACATATTCCAGCTGACTGGACTTAAAAGACACACGACTGCCTGAGGCAGAAATGTGGTTTACCGGCGGAAGAAGTTATGTGAAAAATGGAACCCGCAAAGCTGGATATGCAATAACAACCACAGATCACATCGTCAAAATGCAGGCACTCTCTGCTGGCACTTCTGCACAAAAGGCAGAGATAATTGCACTCACCAGAGCATTGCAATTAGGAAAGGGGAAAGACATTAATATTTGGACAGACAAAGTATGCCTTTGGGGCAGTTCATGCTCATGGAGCAGTGTGGAAAGAAAGAGGATTACTCACATTGCAAGGAAAACAGATAAAGTACACTGAAGAAATCCTAAAGCTACTCAAAGCTGTCCAATTACCAAGAAAGCTTGCCATTATGCATTGCAGAGGACATCAAAAAGGTAATACAGACCAGGAAAAAGACAATTGATTGACAGATAGGTAAAAATAGCAGCAGAAAATGGCCAGGTAGGACTTGCCTCCCTAGTCCCTGATGGCAAAAATCATAGAGGTAAACTCTAATATATCATATTCAAAGGAAGATTTAAAATTAATAAAAGATCAGTAAACTCAACTAAGAGATAACGTGAACCAGTTAAAAACAGGACAAGTAGTAATACCTGAAAGAATGCTATGGAAAGTTGTACAGGCAGAACATGACAAAACCCATTGGGGGGCAGATGTGCCACATGAATACCTAAGGAAACAAATTATAGGGTGAAATTTATACACTACAATAATCCAGGTCACTAAACAATGCAAGACTTTCCTCCATAATAATCTTCACACAACCAATAAAATAGAAATAGGGACAATTGGCAAGGGTAACCTCCCAAGGCAACACTGGCAGATAGATTTCTCAGAGCTGCCTAGGAAAGGGGGTTACAGATACCTATTGGTCTTAACAGATACTTTCTCAAATTGGCCAGAGGCTTTCCCGATCCGAAGTAATAAGGCTCGAGAAGTTGTCAAGGTACTACTTAATGAAATTATTCCCAGGTTTGAGTACCTGACATCATCTCCAAGGACCACATTTTGTAGCTAGTATTATACAAGATTAGTAGCATTCTGCAAATTGATTGGCAGTTACACACTCCATATCAAACACAGGCAAATGGTCAGGTGGAGAAAATGAATCATTTGATAAAACAACAATTGGCAAAAATCTGTCAAGAAGCAAATCTGCATTGGTACCTAAGACTAAAGAAGGGCTTAGCCCTTTTGAAATGTTATATGGGAGACCCTATGGGAATTATTATCAAGGAGAAGACCTCACACAAGTTGGGGAAGGATATATACGGCAATATCTGATCACATTGAGTAAATAGTTGTCAGAAATTAACAAACAAATAATAAGTACTCGCTCAAGAGGAATAGACCAGCCCTTACATAACATTTCCCCTGGAGAGTGGGTGTATGTTAAAACTTTTTCAGGCCAACAACTAGATGAGAAGTGGAAAGGGTCATACCAAGTGCTTCTGACGACCTCCACAGCAATCAAAATCAAAGACTGGAGAACATCATTGGTGGAGCATATTTCTGGAAGTAACCAATATACAATCACCCACTGCAGCCCAGCTGTTTAACTTCTTGGTCCACCCTGTCTTGGTCTTGATGCTGGCAGCTTTCCTTCTGACAATCATCAATCTCTGGATGTGGTGGAGGATTAAGACTATAACGCAACAAGTACATGTGCTCTGGACTGTAACAAAGGGCGATGCAAAAGAATTTGCATTAGTTAAAAGAAAAGGGGGGAATTGAAATAAAGACAAGATAAAATACAATAAAAATTTAGCTATGTTAAGTGTGATTTTGCAAGACTCTAACTGCTTGAAAGAAGGTTGCTGCCCAAATTGCGGGCAATTAAGATAAAGCTAGCTTACATAAACAAAAAGGACTGTCAGGGAAAGCGGGAAAGACTTCTAGCATGTAGCATCGCAAGGGAGACAGAAGAGGGGTGGGGGGAAACCTAAGCTGTTTGAAATGATAAAACTTAATGTAACTACTTGTGAGAAACGAAGTCTCGAGTTATGATAGGTTTTCGAATAAGAGTTTAATATATGGAAAAAGTAAGAAGCATGCTGGGCGACAGAAGAAGTCTTTGCTCCAAAATCCCCACGCTCCGATATGGCATTTGTCTAACGTTTATTCTAGCTATCTCATGCATATTCATTAAATCATATACATATACATTTCACAATACTATGTTAGGAATTTAACATATGTTTATTTTCACAACTAAAGCTAGGTTGTTATCTCTACAACAGTGATAGTTTTCCTATAATTCATACATTCTTGGACAACAAGGCGCCTAAAAGGATCATTGACTCAACCAAATTCTACCATAATTCATTTTTAGGAGAACAGGGATGGTTTATGGCTTATGACCTGATGACTTTAACAAATGGTCTGCTTTATTTCTTTATGGGGGTGTAATTAAGTTTTACAATCTGTTTGTTTTGTTCTTTTATGAGGCTCTAATAGTCCATTTGTTTCTTTCACTGACAGGAATTATAGCAGTGTTTATTACATACTCTATAGTAGTAAGAATAGGAGTTAGGCAACCAAATGTCTATTTAGATAAGGCAGACTTGTAAAGAGTGTATATGATAGATAATTTTGAAACTCACTCCTTCAAATGTATAAAAAGCTTTTGTGTTTCTGTACTCGGTAGAATGCACGGGGGCGGGGGGGGGGAGGCAAAACCCCCTGCATCTCCCCACCATAATAAAAGTGTGCTTTACATATCGTTTAAGGATTTCTTTGAATCAAGAAGACAGAACATGAAACCACTCAAGTTCTAACAGCATGCTTGGCCTACTGCAGTTTGTAAAGGCTGCTAAAAGTCTTCTCCTTTCACAAAGATGGGGGCAGGGGACCCTTTCCCCACCTCCCCTCCAAACAGGTGTCATTTTGGTTTATCTCAAAAGCTGTTGCATACTTGTTTAGATGAACTAAACCTACCACTCCTCAAATCCTGACACAGGAAATGGCATCAGGAGGGCACATATGATGCAGTGTTCTGGTTTAAACCTGATACAGAAGTAGGCAAGATTGTCAGATTATATTTTCAAGGGGTTTTACTTGGAGGGATTTTAAAAAGTAAGTGTTTAGAACAGAAGCTGAGATATATTTTTTAACGTTTTTTCCCCAGCACTTCAGACATGCGCTTGACCCAAGGTGACTGCCAAGATAGTAGCCATAAGGCTCATCCGCTCCCCAAATGCAAAGCCCGTCAGGAAGAAAGCAAAACTCAAGTCACACGGTGACAGAAAGGGGAACCGGCACTTTTCTGAACAGCGCCTGAGGTGCTGCGGTTTCGGTATGCAAAGTCAACGCAGCTACACCATTTCAGAGCGTTTCCTCTCCTTCCTTCGGGCACATCTGCTGGCGGGGCGGTTCTAAATGAGATCGAGGAACCGCTGTAGCGTGCAAAAGAAAACAACGATTTACAGATTTATTTTTAAGGGTTCCTTTTAGGTATTAAAGGCCCTCCTCTCGGTCCCCTCTCACAGCCCTTCAGTGGAGGGCAGGCCTCCCCTCAGCGGGGCCGCAGTCCCGACGGGGCCTGGCTCCAGGCAGAGCCTTGCCGTTGGCCCCACAGGGCTTCCTCGATTGGCATGATGCGGGTGACTAGCCCCGTGGGAGACATTTTTTTGCTGCTGTCCTAGCCGGAGCGGGGGAAGTAGGAACGAGTTAAAAAGGTACGCGTCCTCTTTAAACACCTCCCCCTGCCCCCTCCCACGTGGTGCAGGGCAAGGGCGGGGATTCTGCGATGCATCACTTCTGTTTCTTTTGTGGTGAAGGGGAGCCGCGTGCGGAGTGAGATGTGAGCATTTGGGTTCTTTCTCGTGTTTAGTTAGGGCTGTTGACATTTTCTCTATCCTTCACCCCCAGTTGTAGAGAGCTCGGCATCTCCTAGCCTGGCGCAGGAGAGGCGCGCAGGGTAACTGTGTGGCGAGGCTTCCCATTTTCTTCGAGTGCCCGCTGTGCTCTGCGGGAGGAATGCCCTGCCGCGGAGCAGGCTTGGGGCGGGAGTAGGAGCTGCTGCCATGTTGGAGGAGCAAAGAGGATTTGAGTGAGGGAGAAAATGGCGGTGAGGAATCGCCCGGCTCCGTTCACCCCGCACCGGGATCAGGTCCTGCCCGCTGACTACCTCCGACGTGGTTTTTTTTGTGTGTGTCTTGTGTTGTCTTTTCTCTGTCGGTAATCTGCATCCCTCTTGCTACCACCCTGCCCTGGGAACCTGGGTGTTCTTGCCCGCACCCCCTTACCGGGCTCTCACTCCTTTCCCCTAGGGGGCAATAGAGCCGTAGAAAAGAGGAAAAGGGGAGGAAAATGGCGGCTGGCATCTGCCTACCTGGTGTTCCTAGTTCGTACTCGTTTGTCTTTCTTATCTTCCTTTCCTTCGTCTTCGCTTGTCCCATCTCATTCCACCCTTACTCTCCACGGTGCTTCGGTGTCTCCTCACGCTCTTCCTACTAGTTTCTCCCGAGGGGAACCCAGCCCCCCTATTTCTGTTTCTGTTTCCGTCCTCACCTTCCTCCATATTGTTACTCTCTTCCTGATGCGGACTCTGGAGTTATCCTCTGCAGGTGCCCCGCCCCCCGCGTATCAGACTTCTTGTTCGGCTTCTCGATTTCTTGGCATTGCCGTGCTTATTTTTGCATTGTCCTGTTACAGCTCTCTTCTGCCTCCATCCTGTAACGTGTTTTATGCGTGCTTCCCATACCCTGTTTCATTTTCAGTGCTACGGCTTCCATCTTTGTGCTCCAAACTATTACAACAGAATTTACTCTACTTTAGAACCACATTGATCCCTTAGCATTATTCAGACTCCGTTTTTTCCTTTGTGCGTGGTTTATTTCATTGCCAATTTAAAAACACTGCTATTCCTTTTTCTTTTTTGAGGTACGCTTCGTTAATATTATATTAGCCTTTCCTAGCTAGTTTATTTGATACAGTTCCTCCCTGTGATGCTTATTTTTATTCTGAAATCACAAATGAGCTATTTATTTGTTAGAGTTTTTAGTAGCAGGCAAGATGTTTAACTACTGTATCTAATCACATTTGCATACTAGAGAGATGTAGAAGCACACTGGGCAGCATGCATTCAAGGAAAGTTCAATGTCCACTTGTCTAGTAAAGGAATAGATTCTAGTGACTGATGTGGTAAAACTGCAGTGGAAATATTAATTGCAGTACTGTAGTTCTCTGTAACTGAGATATTTTCACACTTTTGTATTAATCGTGGGAACTTGAGCTTCATGTATAATAGCTATGCATCTGTTACTCGCTATTTCAACTAGGTAAAATGCCCATGTAAGAATATATATAGTGCTGGGACCTTAAATAGTATATATTTATGAATGTAATGTTGAGAATTCAACTGGAGAGCAGTTTTGTATTGTATTTATTTTGATTATAGTTTCTACCATACCCAGGGTATATGAAAAAGGTGAAAAATTGTCCCTTTGTAAGCAGTTCAGAATCTAAAAAACTGCATTTAAGGTAGTTGCAGCAAAAAGGGTAAGAGCTATAAGAGGGAAGGGTGTTTGAGATCACATCTGCAATGTATATTAAAGCTTATATGAAAAGGCAAGAAAGTCTTCAGGAGGGTTTTGAATAAGATGAGCCTTTACAAACAGATTTGAAAATGGCTTTCTAGCCATTATAGGATGTATTCATTGTATAGTGTTCTCATGTTTCCTTTCTCTTCCTAGAATGCCTAAGTCAAAGGAACTTGTGTCTTCAAGCTCATCTGCCAGTGATTCAGATAGTGAAGTTGACAAAAAGGTGAACATTATATGCAGTTTATAACTACTGTATTAACTGTTATATTTCAGGCTGGGGTTAAGGAATTAGCTGAGTGTTATGTCACAAAATGCATGTCATTCCATATGATTTATCAGACACTTAAACTCAAAACACCTAGCCCAACAAAACAAACCCACTACTCAAACCCCCCAAGATTATGGTTTGGGTGGATACATTTTGCTTTGCAGTAAACTTTTTTCCTAAGTTGCATTTTGCTTCAGGTTTTTCTGTATAGTATATCTAGCCACAGGTTTCTTGGAATTCTTTGCTGCTTTGTGGCAAGTGATAGAAGGCTTCTGTATAAGCTGCCCCTGGTGACAAGAATTTGAACTAATTTTGAGGACACCCCCCACCTTCATTTTGATATCTGGATTACTTGTAAGTCCAAAAAAAACCCCTCCACTTGCCCTGTCATCCATGTGCCACTTGCTTATCTTGATCACGCTTCTTTTTATCTGTTTCAGTCTTACATTTACTGTAATACCATCTGCTAGTTTCTTACTTAAAAGCTGAACCAACCTAAATGTCTTTGAGTTGATAATTTTAATGTTAACTGCTTTAAATGCATGAATATAATGTTCTCATTTATTTTTAATAGTTATTTAATTTATAAATTTGTATAGATATATCAGTCATTGCAAACAAAAATTGAACAGTCAATTTATCTTTTTAAGAAATGCTAGGTGGTAATGCAGACATTAGGTCTTTCAGTGCAGTATGTGAAGACACTTGGTCTGATTTACTGAATTGGTTCAAATGTGACTTGGTTGCACTTAGCAAATTAGTTGTTTTGTGAAGTCTTAATATAAGAGAAAATGGTCAGGTGATAGTTTTTTTTTGTAGTTGTTAGGGAAATGTATTCCTGAAAAGACATAGTCTAACAATCAGCTTCAGTGGGCAGTAAAGTGGTTGGTTTTGGTTTTGTTATTTTTTCTATGACAACTGCCGATATTTTTTTGAGCTGTTTGTCTTTAAAAGAGGTTATCTACAGTATGATTCTAGCAGGGGAGAATAATTTTTGGTATCTTTGTATTACTCTTTCTTTAGGGCAGACATGATTACTATATAACTATTAGTAGAAATGTAACATACTGTAGCATCTGCTAGCAAAGTAATCTGATTTACAGGTGATGTCACCTGAATGTTTTAAAAGCATGTTTAATTTATCATGCTATGAACAGAGATTGGACTCTGATTAAAAAAAAATCTTCTTTTTTTTTTTTTTTGCAGAGTTGTTAGCTGTTCCCCACATTTCATTGCACTCTTTGGAAAGGATAGTGAAACTTCTATCAGACTTTACGAATTTAATTAAAACTGACAGTATTACTGCACAAAGAGAGTAGGCTTTTTGAAATGTATTTTTGTTCTAATTCATTTCTCTTTAAAGCCAAATTATTATGGCAAACTTCACTGAAAACAGAAATAGGTTCATTCGAAGATCTTTCTGGTTTTTAATTTTTTTTAAATTCCAGTCTAAATGTACAGTATTGGATTCCTGCCTTCACAGGAGGAAGGTGATGATGCGTATTGCATAACAGTAGTTTGTGACCTCTAACGTAAACTTTTTTATAACTTATAAAATGAGTTGCGGTTCATGAATTTCTTTTTTTATTCTTACTCCAAGGCAAAGCGGAAAAAGCAAGTAGTTCCAGAAAAGCCCGTAAAGAAACAAAAGCCTGGTGAAAGTTCAAAAGGTGCAGCTTCTTCTAAGCAAAGCAGTAACAGAGATGAGAATATGTTTCAGGTAAAATTGATGACTCTCTTAGAACCTGGTTAAGGTAACCATTTACATCATAATCAGTATAAATTTTATGAGGCTATCTGAATATCATGATAGCATAGTGCTTGGTCTCCTTAAGTCTTGGCTGAAGGGGATTACTATGCTAGCATGCAGGTGAGATGCTGAGATAAAGCATTGTCAGGTTTCAATAGAGTAAAAGAATCAGAGTTGTGGCAATTGATTCTAACCTTTATGTCCTTGACCATGGTAATTCTCTGAGTAGTCATTTTGTCTGTAAATAGTAGATCAGGACAGTCTCTACGTGGAAATGTTTTTTAATCAGGGCTCTTGAAAGAAAGGTTCTTGGGAACCCAAAATATGGACTCTTCATTCCTATTTAACTAGGTCAAGGGAAACTTGGCTTCTGTCTTATAAGACAATGTCTTGGAATAAGTTTTACTTGTTCCTTTATGATGCATTTTTTTCTAGCAGAACATCAAAAATATTGCAATTTTGTATGTTGTCAAAATAGGGTGAAAGTATGTTTTTCAGTAGCAAGAAACATTTGTGAGTTCAGGGTATTGCATATCCTGGGGTTAGCCAAGGAAGCAATGTCTGCTGAAAGCTGTGCAAGAATATGCATAGCTCAGAATTACTTGTTTTAGGGGTGTGGATCAAGACTTATTAAATGTCTGCGGCTAACTGTCTTGAAAGGGACAGGGGATGAGCAAGGAACTTAAATTCTTAGAGACTTTGATTCTTAAGTTTGTGAAAAGTCAAGGGAGAGGTGCCTAATAATATGGTTCCAACACTAAATAAAGCAAAAGAAATGGGGTTTGGGCTGTAGCTGTGCAAAGTAATATGGGGGGGGGGGAGAGAAGGCCTGTTTCAATTCTCACTTTCCTCTTTATGTATAGTTAAAGGGAGAGCTTAAATTTAAGACACTGGGCATAACTGCCAGGACTTCTCCATTGGAGAAATAATATAATACTTATAGTTCTGTTGGGGTATGCTTTGATCCATGTAAGAAAAATGCGATGGTATCTTCTGCACCTAATGAAGTGAACTGCAGTTAGAACTCAAGCATAGCATAAAGCCTACATGTTTGGGTTCAGAAATTGCAGCCTTGGGGAAAACAATTTTAATGTTCTCCCAATGGAAAAAAAAAAACCAAAAACAAAAAAAAAACCAACAAAGCACAAAGGAACATAAAGAAACAACCCAAAGCAAAAAACTTTCAAATAAAAGCAAAAGTATTTGTGTGCTCTGAATTCTTTCAACCTTTTTTTGACTCAAGGTAGTAAAAAGTTACTAAAAACAGACAGTAGACGACTCATATTACTCTGATAGGAGCAGGATTCTTCCAGTGTTTACTATAATACAGAAAAAATATTTCAGTATCACCTTGACCTAAACCATCAGTGTTCCTTAGTCTCTGCCTGCCTTTTAATTACTCAACAACAAAAGTTTTTCAGATAGCTTGTTGTGTTATGTGGGGTTTTTTTTCATACAACATCAGCTCATGTGTGTTAACTAAGATGCAACTGTTTCAGTGTAGAAATAGCACTGTAGGTCTGAGGATGCTCCTTCTCAGGATGAGTTTAGGAGTTACTCAGGATGACTTTAGGAGTATAACTATGTCACGCAGAAAGAAAATTAGAGAGACAAAAGCACAATTTGAAGTCAATTTGGCTACTTCTGTTAAGGATAACAAAAAACGCTTCTATAAATACATTAATAACAAAAGGAGGGGCAAGGAAAACCTCCATTCCTTGTTGGACTTGGGGGGGAACTTAGTTAACAGGGATGAGGAGAAGGCTGAGGTACTTAACACCTACTTTGCCTCAGTATTCACCAGTAGGCCAGGTGGCCCTCAGAACAACTGACCTCTGGAGCTGGTAGACAGGGACAGGAAGCCAAACAGCCCCCCTGTATTCCAGGAGAAAATAGTCAGTGACTTACTGAACCACCTGGGTCCACACAAGTCCATGGGACCAGATGGGATCCATCCTAGGGTGATGAGGGAGCTGGCAGAAGAGCTTGCCAAACCGCTCTCCGTCACTTACCAACAGTCCTGGCTCTCTGGGGAGGTCCCAGACAATTGGAAGTTGGTGAATGTCATGCCAATCTGCAAAAAGGGCTGCAAGGAGGACCCGGGAAACTACAGGCCTGTCAACCTGACCTCAGTGCCTGGCAAGGTTATGGAGCAGATCATCCTAAGTGCAATCACACCGCTCCTACAGGATGGACAAGGGATCAGAGCCAACCAGCACAAGTTTAGGAGGGGCAGGTCCTGTTTGACCAACCTCATCTCCTTTTATGATCTGGTGACCTGCCTGGTGGATGAGGGGAAGGCTGTGGATGTAGTCTATCTGGACTTCAGCAAAGCCTTTGACACCGTCTCCCATAATATATTCCTGAAAAAACTGGCAACCCACGGCTTGGAAAGGGGCACTCTGTGCTGGGTTAAGAACTGGCTGGAGGGCTGGGTCCAGAGAATGCTGGTCAATGGGGCTGCATCCAGTTGGCGACCAGTCACTAGTGGTGTTCCCCAGGGATCAGTGTTGGGCCCAGTCCTGTTTAACATCTTTATCAATGATTTAGATGAGGGGATTGAGTCTATCATTAGCAAATTTGCAGATGACACCAAGTTGGGGGAGAGTGTCGACCTGCTGGAAGGCAGGAGGGCTCTGCAGAGGGACCTGAATAGGCTGGAGAGTTGGGCTGATTCCAATGGGATGAAGTTCGACAAGGCCACGTGCCGGGTCCTGCACTTTGGCCACAACAACCCTCTGCAGCGCTACAGGCTGGGCACAGAGTGGCTGGAGAGCAGCCAGGTGGAAAGGGACCTGGGAGTTTAGATTGACAGGAAACTGAACATGAGCCAGTAGTGTGCCCAGGTGGCCAAGAAGGCCAATGGCATCCTGGCCTGCATCAAGAACAGTGTGGGCAGCAGGAGCAGGGAAGTGATTCTTCCCCTGTACTCAGCACTGGTGAGGCCACACCTTGAGTACTGTGTCCAGTTCTGGGCCCCTCATTTCAGGAAAGACATTGAGGTGCTGGAGCAGGTCCAGAGAAGAGCAACGAGGCTGGTGAAGGGACTTGATCACGAGTCCTATGAGGAGAGGCTGAGGGAGCTGGGGTTGTTTAGTCTGGAGAAGAGGAGGCTCAGGGGTGACCTCATCACTCTCTACAACTACCTGAAAGGAGGTTGTATCCAGGTGGGGGTTAGTCTATTCTCCCAGGCAATCAGCAGTAGGACAAGAGGGCACAGGCTTCAGCTCTGCCAGGGGAGGTTTAGGTTGGATATTAGAAAGAAGTTCTTTACAGAGAGAGTGATCAGGCATTGGAACGGCCTGCCCAGAGAGGTGGTTGATTCACCATCCCTGGAGGTTTTTAAGATGAGGCTGGATGTGGCACTGAGTGCCATGATCTAGTAATCACAGTGGGGTTGGATCAAGGGTTGGACTTGATGATCTCAGAGGTCTCTTCCAACCCAGTTAATTCTATGATTCTATGATTTTCTCTCCTCTCTACCCAGGAGAGCATGCTAGAAGATGTAGGTGTGTGTTAAGTTTTTAGGTATTATTTTGTTTGGAGCCCCTGGTGGTCTAGTGGTTAAGGGCGCGGCGCTGTCACTGCTGAGGCCCGGGTTCGATTCCCGGTCAGGGCCACTCCCGGGCAGGTGGAGCTCGTTAGCCCTTAAAGGCAACCCATCTACGTCCTAAGGACCTCGCTGCCACCGTCCAAGCTCGCTTGGCCCCAGCAGATGAACCTTAGGATTAAAGGGTGGGCTCAGTTCCGCACACTCTGTGTCTCACCTAAAAAATCCAATGCGCAGGCTGGAAGGTGTAAAGACCTTCCCCGGATCTTCGCTCGCGAAGACTGGCCATTATTATTTTGTTTGTTTTAGGATTATTAGTAATACTAGAATCTCTCCTTTCTGCTTCCCCTTGGTAATAAAATAATCTTTGTGCAAGTAATTTTGCAGTATAACTTACAGGTATGTCTTCAATGGATGGACATTAAGCAGTAAAGCATTCATAGGACAGTCAGAAATTCTGTGGCATCCATATTGTGTGTGGGAGTGATAGCAACTGACATGGAACTTAGTGGTTTGTTGTTCTATACCTTTGGGCTGTGTTTTTAATGTATACAGCTTCCCTTAATTTTGAACTTATTGTGACTGCTGTATTCAGAAGATTGAGCATTTTCATAAAGATCTACACTTTTAATTGTTTTTGTTTGAAACTAATGTTGGTGTAATGGTATTCTTGAAACTAATTATGAAGAATAATTGTAAGATGGAGGGAATTAAGTATAAGAGGCCAAGTGTGTTTTATTTATTTACATGCTTTGGTCTTTTTAGGTTTTATAGGTAGCCTAGTGTACTATGGATTTTGTTAAAGGATTTGAGTGCAGTTGGGTTGTGGAAATTTACCCTACTCCCATTAGTGATATATTACTAGAGGCCCTAAAGACAAGCATTGTTCATGTTACATTAGATTCCCGTCTGTGGCTTTGAGTCAATGTGAGTTCTACATCATGTGCCTTGGTTAGTTTGACAAATCTTGTCATCTACCTTCACCTGATTGGGATTCGGTTTGTTAATGCTGTTGGGTTACAGTATTAATGATTATCCAGAGTGGAATCACATTACATGATAGGGCATTTAATAGAAATTGTTACTTCAAAAGTAGTTTGCCTGTTGTGAGTGTGGCTTCCCCCCCTTTGTTTATTTAAGTTTGGGTCAACTTTCCTTTTTCACTTGTGAGAAACAAGTTCTTCAGGTTCCCAGTGTAATGCCTTTACCTATTATAGGCTCCTGAAAGTAGATAATTAAGTAGATAATATATGTTTGTGATGCTCTGGAATGTGATTGATTGGTGTCATGGTATAGGAATGGTATACCATTCTCCAATTTAGTACTCCCACTTAAACCCCCACGTACCACACCCCCTTCCCCCCCAACTGAAGGTGAAAATGGCAAAGATCACAGGTTGAGATAAGAACAACTTACTGGA